AWTTTTWAAAAAAATTAAGGTATTACCAATATTTTCCCCCCATTTTATACAAACAAACCTCAATAACAAACATTGATAACTTCCCATTCTATAAAAGGAAGGTGAGTTTAATATTCTCCACAGTTCTTCCTTGGCATAAAATTATTCCCTTTGCCATAACATTAAAAAAAAAAAAAAAAGCTGAGTTTACAATCTCTGCAACAACAGGGACCATTTATCTTGCTCATTATTGTATCTCCAGCACCAAGCAGTCTCTRAAACTTTAATAAATAAATGTTTACTGAATGAATAAATGGATTAATATATGAGTTGTTATCCAAAGGTGATTATCCCAATGGCTACCTGTATCTTGTTTTTTGTTTGTCTTTGCAGTGCTGGAAATGGAATCTGGGGTTTTACACATGCTAGGCAAGCACTACACAGCTGAAGTACACCCCTGCCTCATAAGTCATTTTAAACCTCTAATCTTCCCAGTGCTTTTATTTTTCCAATGTATGTCCTACCTGGACATACAAAAAGTAAACAAAATTAAAGTATATATAATTTTGATTATAAAATTAATATATGGCAAAAAAAAGAAGCCATATAAAGAACTGCAAATTTCAGAAGATTTTTTTTAAATACCTTTATTTATTTTTATGTGGTGCTGAGGAACGAACCCAGTGCCTCACACATGCTAGGCGAGCACTCTACCACTAAGCCACAACCCTAGCCCTTCAGAAGATTAATTCCTACAGAAGAAAAATGGTGTTGAGGAGTCTAATGTCACGTGATTTAGGCAAGTAATAAATTTTCTGTTCTTTTTCCCAGAGAGAGACAGAGAAGTGGCAATTATATTGGGAAGTCAAAAGGACAAGTAGGTTACCCAAAAGGGAGTGCTTCTGTATATCCTGTCTGCCCCTTATTTTTTACTCAATGAAACAACCTGGAAAACACTCCACATATGCAAAAATCTTAACTTTCAATGGTGTAGATTGCCCAAAGTTGGAACTAATCAAATGATGGACATTCAGGCTATTTCTGAACTTCATTTCTTAACAATATTCCTGTATTGAATAGCTCTGGGAATCTATTTTCTTGCAAATGTACATTCAATGTTCAGTCCTGCAAGAAATATTGCTTTATCAATGGCTATTTTTTTTCATAATTTCAAATAATAAAGCCCAATTCACTGGGAAAAAAAAAAGGGGCAAGTAGGTTGGGCATGGTGGCACACGCCTGTAAATCTGGCACTCAAGAGGTTGAGGCAGGGGGATCATGAGTTCAAAGCCAGCCTCAGCAACTTGGTGAGGCCCCAAGCAACTTAGTGAGACTCCCTCTAAAAAAATAAAAAAGGCTCAGAATGTGACTAGTAGTTAAGCGCCCCTGGGTTCAATCCCCAGTACCAAAAAAAAAAAAAAAAAAAAAAAAGGAGGATGTTAAACCAAAAAGAACTGCGGACTACTGAATTTGGCAAGCTAGCAATATCAAGTGATCTGACAAAATTCATAATGTGAGATGCTGAGAAAATAAAAATATGGACAAGAATACGGGCTAGCATCTTTCCAACTCCTTTGGAAATAAGATTTTAATTTTTCTCATGGACTAAATAAAGTCCTAATATTTACACCTAAAAACATTCTTTTTCTCCAAGAAGCTTACCTTCCAGTATCATCAAAACAGACGTCTGTGTGTCCTTCTGTATGTCCATATCTCATCGGCTTCTGTGTTGCAGGCATGTTTTCTTTTCCCTACTCGAAAATGTCTTATAAAGATGGTCTATTTTCAAGGCGAGGAAAGCGGGGAGTAGGAGGGGAAAAGAAAGGTTGGTCTCCTCCCGAGCACACTCTCCACAGCCCCGATTCCTCCAAGCGACGCAAGTGGGTGCAGCAGAAGGTCTGTCACACAACAAGCCGGGAAGGGGACACGCTTCTCCGCTGGCGCTACCAAGGTGGGCGAGGACTCACTGTGGCGAAGAAGGCTCCGCGCCTGAACCAAGAAAACCCAGCGCCCGCGCAGACCGGCTTCCCGCGCTCCAGCGCGCTCGGCACGCTGCGCCTGCGCGGCCCGCCCACGCCCAGCGCAGGTCTCGATCGAGGTCGCTGATGGTGGCGTCAGCTGCGCGCCGGCCGCGAGGCAAAGAACCGGCTGCTGGGACAGTGAGCGTGGAAAAGAGGGAGCTGAACGCGGAAGTGGTGGCAGCGCCCGGGTAGCCGGCGGAGGCGGTGACCGCGAAGTCAGACGGGAACCGGTCGTCGAGGGGAGGGGCACGGGATTGGCAGGAAGGCAACCGCCTGGTAGGATCCACCGGAGGTGCGAGGAGTGGCTGGGCCTTCTTTCTCCACTTGAACGTGTGCTGAGAGCCACGGCTATGGTGATGGCGGCAATTACTCGGTCAGCCCCAGTTAAGCTGCCCTTTGGGAGGTGAGTGGGGGAAGGGTGGCCTCTGCCAGGCTTTGCAGCCGGGGTCGTGCTCTTTCCTTCCTGGCTGTCCTCCCATGCGACGGATCCAGCCCCTCCTTGGAACACAGTTAGAGACAGATCTTTTAATTTCTTCTCTAGAAAAGAATAAAGCGAGGTCCTTTAATCTTGGCATATTTCGTACCCTCAGCGTGTCACTTCTGTAGAGATGAAGAATTAATACTTATTTCTTGAGACTCTATCCAGGGATCCCTTTTAAAAAGTATCTTCTGTTTCCCGATTCATATCCCACTAAAGTTCACTGAAGTGTATGTTTAGATCCAAAAGAAGAGTTAAAATTAAACGACCTATTGTTGTAGGCTTCATTTGATCTTGACCATCAAGTTTATGCTTTTCTTGTCTTTACGTTTTCCGTATTGATAGACTGGTCTGTGATGAATATCTTCACAATGACAATCTCTCGTTAGTATTTATCTTTGAGAATTTTTTTTTTTTATGGTACCCACCTTTCAATTTCAGTCAGACCATTTTTTTTTTTTACCTCAGTGAGACGTCTTTCCGTTGCAGAGATTTCCCTATTTTCCAATCTATCTTTTGTGAAAAGTTGAGAGCGCAGTTAGACAAATTGGTGTTCTTGCCTTGGTGGCATCATAAGAGGGGTTGTTTTTGGTACTAGGGCTCCAAATAGGCTTGCTAGACGCCAAGGTTTGTGTATGAATGAAAAGGATGAGTGATTGGCTCAAATACAACTTGGAATTGTGGGGAAATACCTACTGTTCATTTCCCACAAGAGCAAACGTACCTGAGATGCTGCTCTCTAAGTGAATTAATTTTATTTAGAGATCATTCATTTTTTAGGTAGACTGATTCATAATTTTTTATCCAAGTAATTTAATATCATTAGATAGAGTGGGTGGTTCAAGATGAACTCATAATATTCATCTCTATGTTGAATAAATCATGAGATTTCAGAGTAGTACTGTTCAGAGCTCAGCATAAGAAGAATTTGCAAATTGAAACAAGAGTTATAGCTATAAAATGTTTTAAATGGAGTATCTATAAATCTGTCCATTTTTTTGTGCCTTAGCAATCAAGCCATTTGATTCACAGATTAAAGAAAATTCTGCTTTGTAGATTTCACATGTATGAATGAGATTCAGCTTTAGGATTGAACAATCCAAGGTTTTAATTTTACTCTTGACACATTGTGTGACCTTGAGTATGGTTCTCTCCCGAAGTCAAATTCCTAGCCTCTGAAATGGAGATGGTACTTAGTAGCACCCAATTAGAGTATATAGGAGATACTAATGGATATATAAAATTCATTATTATTAATGTCTTGTATTATTAATGGGATACTTTGGGTGAGTGTGTAGTAGTTTTGTTTAAAGTGGATTTAAATCATTATCCAGTAAAATGTTTTAAATATTAAAAGATTTGTTCCTGCTTTTGATAGTATGTTTTCATAATTCCATTTGCTTAAGTCAGTGCCTTTAGTGAGTTCATGATTCTGTTGAGGGAAATAGATAACTGAAACAACATATACAAGATGATAGTGCATTTATGAAACCTATGTAAATTAAATACTGTATTAGTAAAATTGTCTGGTAATTTGAGATAATATAGCTGTTTTAAAAGAAACCAATTTAGCTGTGTCACTGATATAGGTGTCAAAATTTTCCAAAGGAATGTGTTCATCCTTATTAACATGCATATCTCATAGGAGAAGGTAACTGAATGAACTAGCTGAAAATTAAGTCAAGGTCGAAAATTCATTTGCCGTGAAGGTTAGTCTGCTATGTTGTCAGGACTTTAGTACCCTTAGGCTTACAGATATTGTTGGTCTCAAGGGCAGTAGGGTGAGAAAACCGATATATCACCATTCTACCAATGGTAATATTATCTAAATCTTAACAATTTATCCAAGAGGATATATTGGTATTGCCTTATGGAAGGAGTTTTAAAAATGCCTTTTCAATAAAATATGTACTCCATGTAAAAATTAGTAATCCTTTGAAAGATAAGACTAGAAGAGAGGATAACCAGAGCTCAGGAGAACAAAGTATTGAAAAAATAAYATTGAAGGCAGATTAGAAGTCTGAAAATTTCTATCTCCGAATGTATCCTGAAAATTACTAACTTACTTACTTTGGTGGTAGATATTATTGCACATAGTAAGGTGTAAAATGGTATGATACAGTAAAAGTCACCTTATTCCAAATACCCAATTCTGGCAAAAAAAAAAAAAAAAAAACACAAACAAACAGTATTTAAATCTCATGTTGACATTACTAGGTTGATTTTTACCACTGCAAGACAGATATAATAAATATTTCATAAATGAAAAACTTAAGAGTTGGAAAGATCATGGTTTATCTAAAACCACACACCTAATAGGGGTGGTAGTACATACCTGTAATTCCAGGAAGTTGAGGCAGGAAGATTGCAAGTTCAAAGCCAGCCTCAGCAACTTACAAAAGGCCCTAGCAACTTAAGGAGACCCTTTCTCAAAAATAAAACATAAAAAGGGTTGGGGATGTGGCTCAGCCCCTGGGTTCAATGCCCTGTCAGAGCATAGGTTTTTTATCTAATCCAAGATATCCTACCACAGTCTCTCCAAATAATAGTTATTGCCATAAAACTTAGAATTTAAAAACATCAGGACATAAAAACGAATTTTATTTAAATCTAGAATTCCTTTTTACTAGTTTGTAGGTGAAACTTGTTACTCAACCTTACATGTAAGTAAGCATATGTAATTGTAAAGTAGTGAAAAGAATAATCTATAATCAGTTAAAAAAAAAAAACTTGGCGCTGGGGATGTGGCTCAGCGGTAGCGCGCTCGCCTGGCATGCGTGCGGCCCGGGTTCGATCCTCAGCACCATATACCAATAAAGATGCTGTGTCTGCCGAGAACTAAGGTAAAAAATGTTTAAAAAAAAAAAAAAAAAAAAAAAACTTGCTTGTTATTTCAGTACCACTACTATTAGTACTATTAGTTAGCTTACATGAAACTACAAATTTTGGGTCATTAAAAGCTTGTGATTTTCACCCATGTTATTTTTAAGTAATTTAAAAGTGTAAAACTTTTTTAATGGACCATAATATTAGGAGTAATAGAAAAGGTTTTATGACATTTCAGAAATTCTGGAATCTCCTAAATTCAGATTTTTRAGTATGTTTTTGTTCAGATTTTCTGCCTTATATATAGCCTTTATTTCCTCTCTTTCCTTTTTCCTTGATTTTGGCACTTTTATCATGTCATTTTTAGAAAACTTCTGAGTAATAACATTTTCATTAATCTCAGTATGTTTTTTTCATATGTTTTAATCCTGGCAGTTAAAACGTGCAGATTTTACAGTGAGAAAAGTGAAGCCAAATGAGGCAGAGGGTTTTTGTTTGTTTGTTTCCCCTCCTTGCTAGAGATTAAACCCAGGGCTTCACACGTGCCAGGCAAATATCTTACCACTAAATATATTCCCAGAGATTTTTTTTAAAGGAGGTGACATATCTATGAATGGCAAGGTCTGAGTTTACCTACCATTTTACAATTTAGCAACTCATGCTATTTCATCTGCACTGTGGTGATTTTAAATATGGGATAGTGAATAACTGTAGGTTCTTAATTTTTATGGGTTTTTAATTTTTTAAAATTTCCTTTTTAGACTAAATTGGTCTTATAGAAAGAAAGAGTTCAGGGAAATAGGCCAAAATGTCAGAATTGCTTACTTCCAGGTACTTGAATTATAACCTTTTTTGCACCTTCTCAATTTTTTTCTGAACATTTCTGGTTTTTTTTTTGGGGGGGGGGGGTTTGTAGATGGAAACAATACCCTTTGTTTTATTTATTTATTTATTTTTATGTGGTGCTGAGGATTAAACCCAGTGCCTCACATTAAGCAAGTGCTCTACCACTGAGCTACAACCCCAGCCCTGAACATTGATTTACTACTTACTGAGTATATGTCGTTTTTATAATTAAAAATTATAAATTTTTAAGGGAAAAATACATCTTTCCAATTTATTCCATAAAATGTTTTAATAGTACAACTTTTATATTCGGCTTTCTAAGATACTATTGTCCTTCTACTTTTAGAAGTCCATGTACTGCCAGCTCTTAGTTTTCTACTTTCTTCATTCCACATTAACCTTCTTTAACAATAGGTTACTAGACATTTCAACTTATTCTTAGTAAGCTCGGGAAACATACATTCGTTTTAATAATTTCCCCAAAATTTGTTCCACAAAAAATGTTTGTGGAGAGTTAAATATAGGAAACCTTGGCATAAACAGGTTTCTTTACTGAAGTACCTCTTAGAACTTTTTGTTAAGTATGTATTATAATCTTGCAGAGGAGAAGCATTTTCCAAATGTATTTGAAAGGGGACCTCTTTTTCCCCAGAATATGAATTTTTTTAGTATCAATCATTAATTATTTGTTTGGTTTTTAAAAATATTTTTTTAGTTGTAGATAGACACAATATCTTTATTTTATTTGTTTATTTTTATATAGTGCTGGGGATCAAACCCAGTGCCTCACATATGCTAGGCAAGCAGTCTGCCACTGAGACACAACCCTGGCCCTTAATTATTTGTTTTTAATGGACAAATAATTATATGTAATTATGTGATACAGTGTGACTTTTTAATTTTTATTTTCTAATTTTATGTTTTTGGTGGTGCTGGGGACTGAACACAGTGGTTCTCTACCACTCAACTACATCCCCAGCTTTTTTTATTTTTTATTTTGAGACAGTGGCTAAGTTGTCCAGACTGGCTTCAAACTTTGTAATCCTCCTGCTGAGCTCAGCCTCTCTAGTAGCTAGAATTCATGTACACCACTGCTCCTGGCTCAATGTGATGTTTTAATCAAAGTATTTTTTAATAGAATGCTTCAGTTAAGCTGATTAGTATATCTTTTACCTCACTGATGTAGTTTTTGTAGTGACAACATTAAAAATTTTAGCAATTTTGAAATATACAGTTTTATTAACTGATTACCA